CGAAAAAAATTAAATTTAAAATATCTTTTTTAATTTTCGAAAAATGAGTTTTAAAGTTTAAAAGTTTTTAATCATTTTTCAAGAAATTAAAAAAGTTAATCTTAAAATTGAGAAAATAAAAATAAAAATAGGTTTATTTTTTATTAAATTAAAAACAATGTTAGGAAAAAATTTTTGCCTTTTTCGAGAACGTTTCTTTATCGTTTATTTTTTAACGGATTTAATGGAATTATGTTATGATATATGTAGTAATACGTGCAAAATCCGAGAATTACATGAATTTTTTTTATAGATTTTGTAGTTTAGTTGCGAAATGAAAACAATATGTTGTAAAATATTTCTTTACTATATAGTTTACTATATAGTTTAACGATGATTAAAAGTTAATCGAACTATCATAATCGTGTTAATTTTATTTTTCGGATAAAAGTTGAGCGTGTAGCGAATCCTTTGTAAAATATAAAATGTGAAAGACAAGAACCAGATACAATTGTGTGTAATTTGTTAACATTTGTATATTAAAATGATTCGTCGCGTCAGTTTTAGATGAATTGTCTACCACCGGTGATTAATAATATTTTTGTTTGTGTTTATTATATTTATTAAATAAAATATATTTTATAGTAGTTAAAATATCTTGTGAAGGTTATCGTCATTTTTAAAATGGAATTACATTCCTCCAATTATTATGTATATTAAAATAAAACTATTGAAAAATCAATAATTTACGAGATATTTTATACTTTATTTTGGCATCTTTTGATATGAAATATGAAATATATCTCATAAACTATTAATTTTTTGATAATCGTACCTTATTACTTTTATGCACAGAATGATCTTTACATAAATTAATTTATGTAAAGAAAACACAATAATCACTTTAAAAAAATATATAGTTGCATATTACAAAATGCATAATTTTTTTAATAAGGCATTATTTGCGTTCTCTCAAGCCATATACTTTTGTCTGAAACGTTTTACCGTATCTTCTATATTTTTTGACATATTTAGATATTACGTTTGAAATTTTTTACTGCGTATATTCATGCATGATATTAGAAATTATTTTATAACTTTTTTTGTAGCTTATTTTGCAAATATCGGTTTAAACGAAAAGTTCTGCTTGATCAATGACCCACATGACAGCACAAAACATTTTAAAGAAAAAATTTCATTTCTTTATAAAGATATTGCCAGAGTTCTTTCTGCGTGCTTACAATTGCGTGTTATAGTTAGCCTCATTAACATTTTACTGTCTTCTCTTACATATTTAACAAAACAAAAGTATACTTCTTTACAAAGAATACAGAGATTTATAACAGTTGGAATTATATAAGGTCAACTTAACTCAATCTAATATAAAAAATATTAGTTTTACATTATAGTGATAATATATTCCATAACCAAGAAAACTAATGAAAGTTTGTGAGATATTACGAAATTTACTTTTCTTAAAATTCGGGAACCATGATATTAAAAATTATTAGACTGTAACGCAGTCTTTACTACATATGACATTGAATTTCTGGTGAAGTTATGATCCCGGAACGTTCGAAGGTTCGAAAATTACCCAACGAGACGCCTGTGAAAGTTCGTATATAAAACGAGCGAGTCGGTAAATCGAGAAGCGTTAAGGCAGGTTGCATCCGACGCATGTAAAATCATGGGTAGAGTTAGAGGGGCGCAGACAGTGGACGAGACGGGACAGTGAAGTCGCAAGTGCCGAGTGAAATATGCATGGATATTTTATACACACGTACACACGTGCTACACGGACTTTCGTCTATACGGCGCGAGCCGCTTCCAGGCGCTGTAAATTTTATCGCCTGGATAAGAGCAGACTCGTAGACGGCGGTCGTAAAGATACTTTATTGTGTATTTACATCCCGACATAATACGTTACGCGGCTTAATATTACCCGTTAAGTGAATCGAAACAGTCGGATTACTTTACCCAAGCAGCACGTTGCCATGTAAAAGATAGTGAATATGACGATTTCTTATTCTCTTATCGACACTGCTTCAATTCCCATTTATCCATACATAACCGTGAAACAATTGGGACTTAAAATAGATGATTTAGATTTAATTCAAATGAAGCATTAATATTAGCATTTCTTTTTTAGTCAAAACAAGTTTTAATTAAAAGTAGTGTATTAATCTCTTGTATAATTTTAAAATGTGTATATGTGTGAGGGAGAAAGGGAGAATGGGAAAAAGAGAGAAAGAGAGAGAAGAGAAGATAGAATAGAATGGAGTATTATTAGATATATTTATCTCAAAGTGATTAAATAAATCAAGATAATTAATATTCAAACCAATTTATTTATCAATTAAAAATTATGGATTTATAATAATTAAAAATTAAAAATTGGGCCAATTTTAAAAAATTAAATATAATTTATAAAATAGTCAATGAAATATTTTTTAGTCATAAGTTTTTTGATTGATTTTTTTTATTTTAACTTTATCTTGCTACTTGTTTACATATGAAACTATGTGAATGTAAGGCATTTTCTAATAGGGGTCGGTCACCCGTGATAATAAAAACAATAGCCCCGAGACGCGTTTCTCGTTATCCCCTCCCACGTTCCATTATACATTACAGTTCTACTCTCCCCATACCTACGAATTGTAAATATATCCACGTATACGAGCGTCCCGCGGTTCACGTTGATAGCAATGAACGGAAATACAATTATCGGTGGGAATAAAACGCCGCGGATCGATGACAGGATTCGCGAAAGCGCCGGAGGATCGGACGGGTTGGAATATGTAACGCGATTGCAAGGGGATGGGAATGGTTTGGCGGGTGGATGGAAATCGCAATGTGCACCCGCGGGATGTTCCAGGACGCGAAGCGTTCGACTAGCCATTTGATTACGTAATTTGCACGGCCACGTAACTGACGACACCGGGTGGTAAATACTTGCCATTTTTGACCCTCCACCCCCTACCTTTGTTGTCCTTCGCGTCCAACTCGCGGACAACTCCGCTTAAATCTTTCAACGCATTCGAAATTCAGTGCAGTCGATCGAAACTTGACGTTTTGCCGCGAGCATGTCGCGACATTTCGCCGCGAGTACGTCGCGACATTTCCCTTCAAAATGTGATAATTCGCTCGCTCTCATGAAACTTTTGCATTGTATCACACGAAAATTTGACATCGATAGATTTCGCACATTGATAATTTTATTTAGCCAAGTAATAATATATTGGTATCTAACGCCTTGAAAAATACAAAACTGATTGTATCACTTGTGATTTCTGGTTTACAGTTTATTAAATTATTTATAAAAATACTGCTAAAAAAAGTGATAATAATAAACAAAGTTAACGAACTGATTGAGGTAAAGGATATGATATCGCTATTTTAATGAAATAAACGGCAGCATCTGTTGGCGCAATGTAGGTTAGATAAATTTATAATAATAAATATAATAAATATTATCTTTATAAGTTTGTTTAAATAAAAAAACTTAGGAAGGGAGTATATACAAATGGCTTATTTTTTTAATCGTTTGCAAAAATGAGAATAACCGCGACTCTAATCCCGACTTCGAAATCGTGCTTCTCGACGAGAAGCGAATTTACGATTTCCCACTTGGTTCGTCGGGCGTGTGCGTGGTCTCTCGAAAATGCAAGCCCGCAGGCAGACAGGCAGGCAGGCAGTGAGAGGGATATCGGACTGGGCCGCATTCCCGAAAAGCATTTGGCGACGTCGGAGAGAGCGGCTCGATATTCGGGGTGCGGTTCCTAGGTCCGTAGGTCCTGGGTTTGCGTGAGCAAGGGAATAAGAGTGAGAGAGAGAGAGAAGGAGAGAGAGAAAGATAGAGACGAGGAATATTGAAGGGACCAAGAGAGGCCAAGAGACGTAGGGGGAAGCAAGATAGGAAAAGAGAACAGAAACGAAAGAGGAAACGAGAGAGGAGAGGCGACGAGGCGACCGCTGGAAAGAGCAGATACGTGCGTGTTACTTCGTACGCTGGGTATACGTGCGTGCAGGGGAAGGCAGACGTATATATGTGTGTGTGCCTGCGTGTGTGCGGTATGTCGTAACCAGTGGAAGAGGGTCGAAGAGGCAGCGTGGCAAGAGAGGACCGTGGGGTGGAGGACGAGGCGGCGAAGAGCGGCGGGTGGAGGGCGGATAGTAGTCGGTTGGTCGGTGGGTGGCTGGGATGGGTGGGTGAGGCGGATTGCACGCGTTGTGCAGTGCGGTTAACGGCGTGTGCGTTGCGCCGACGGCCAACGACGCTGCTTTTCGAAAAGGGTAGAGAGGGCGGAGGGAGGGAAGGGCGAAGGGGTGATGGGTGGAACGGGGAAAGGTGGAGGGTGTGGGTGGCAGCGGTAGCAGCTATACCAGAAGCACCAGCGTCAGCGTCAGCAGCACGACATGAAAGCACGGAGGACGAAACTCGCGAGAAGGAGCGACTGAGAGAGGGACAGGAAAAGAGGGACACGGAGAAAGAGAAACGGAGAAGGACAGGAAGAGAGACAGAGAGAAACGAAGACGGAGAGACCACCGAACGAGTAAGATAGGACGGCGACGGAAGAGAAGAGCCGAGAAGAGAGAAGGAAGGAAGGAAGGACGCGGGCGTCTCGGCGTTCTGGCAGACGAACGCATCGATCCCAGGCGGGTCAAGCACGGAATCTGTCTCTGTCTCCCTCTTTCTCTTTCGATCCTCGCCCACACTTCCTCCGCGCACCTCGCGCGTCGCAGCCGC